GAGTCCAACTAGGACTTAAAATACTATAGCAATAACTTCCCTTTTAGTGTTCCACAAATATGTATAGTTGAAAATTGCTCCATTCAATTTACAGATTGAATGCTTATCCTTTCCTTAATCCAATTTCACCAACAGAGCTGACTGGCTTAAACTGTAACAATACAATGCAAGGCAATGCTTGCTTTAGGTCACAATGGAAAGCGCTCTCCTCCCCCATAACTCAGTTGTATAACCTGTATTCATCTTAATGAGATCTGCATATGTATATCTTCAGAAGAAAAAAAAACAACCCTTTTAACAGCTGCTCTATTTCACCCTAGAGGTTGCATGTCAGTAGTGGGTATGTAAATCTGGTGCATTAGGCTGAAGTACTTTGATAGCCTTCACAAAGTTACCCACTATATACTCTGAATGCAAGATCTGTTACATTCTGTTAGCCAAGAAATCCTTACAAAAAACACTCAAGGAATTAAGCCCCAAATGCACACTGTATTAAAATGCCAGTATAGTTATCCATCTTATCTATAAAACTTCCTATAAGTATTTAAGCATAAATCCAAAATGGATTCATTTAAAATGTCCTCGCTGCTGGAAAAAATCATATAAACAGTCTGATGATAGTGGATGAGAGCTAGAGTGTGAAACATGCCTGTCTGGTTTTACAGTCTAATCTGAGGGAGAGCTTTTCCAGTCACTTTCGGGGTGTAGAGCAACAGAATGATGCAAGGGACGAACATAGTGGGAAGGTGAAAAGAGACACAGGAGACTTTCAGGAAAAGGAAAAAGGAATGAAAAAATGGACATTAAATTCTCTAGGAGAGTGCTATACCCATGGGCCACAGAAGAGGGGAAGGACGGGTGAACGAGCTTGTCTTTTTACATATACTGGAGGGGCTGGAACAAATCTAACAGACCTTTCCTTGAATAGCAGAGGTTGGGGCATAGAATATGTGCCAGTTTTCCTTCCCCATCTGCCCAAAAAAAGGCAAACCAAGATGAAAGGGAGCTCAGTGAGGTGGAAGACGGTATAAAAAGGGGGAACTCTGTGCCACAGAGGTGCCAGGAATTCAGAGATGCAGCAAAACTTTTGGATGGTGATCTGAATGTGGAGGCCTACGAATGTCCTCCCAGCACATGAATACTTAGAGGCCAAATCCTGTGCCATCTATTAGGTGCCTAAGTGGACTTAGCTGCCACAATGCAATCCAATTCTATCCTTTTCAAGAACCTAAAAAAAC